AGCATCAAATTACGATGCAGCACAACCAAAATCATGGTTTATTTATCAGGATTGTAAGTATAATTTTATATTTAATTAAATATATTATTTTAATTATAGGTAACAACTTGTACAGTCACGCAATATTAAAATGCATGCCATATGGAAGCTTTAAGTGGGTTGAACCCAAACTATAGACGGGTTAAATGATTTAAACGAAAGATCACCAATCGGTTGGATATACAAGATTGATATATCATATTCAAAAGAACTTCATGATAAGCATAATGACTTACCATTCTTATCGAAAAATAGTTTTCCGCCTGGCTCTAAGGTCAGAAACTTATGACGACTTTAGATTCAAAGAAAAAATTACGTAATGTATTACCAGAACCTCCAGCAAGCCATTAAAAACGGGCTCCTAGTGAAAAAAATAACATATTCTAAAGTTTTATTCATTTATAATATCAACATTTAATAATTATGATGATAAGAGACATATGTTGGAAGATAAAGTGCATACTTTTGCCCACGGTTATTATAGAATAGAGTAAGTTTTAAAATAATTATATTTTAAATTATTATACTTATTATATAATGTTTTTTATTTCATAGGGACGCAGGGTTGGCTGAAATAATGGCTGAGAGCGAATATTAGTCCTTATGTATATTTTAAATATTATGCATATATTTTTAATCTGAAAATATAAATTTTTTTTTTTTTTTAGTAAAGATTAGATATAAATAAATATAAACATTTTTGTTAAAAATAAAATAAAATATGATATTTATTTAAATTTAAAAAATATATATATTTATACAATTTTTAAGAATCATTTACAAACCGTTTTCTCATAGCAAATACTTTATAAAATGTTGATTATTTAGGATTATATTCATTATACTCCATATGTAAAATACAGCGAGGTAAAGTTTTGTCATCTCATATTTGATTCAATCGATGTCAAGTGTATTTATCCAACTATTGTAAGTGCTATTGTTCGGTGTCAATTCCAACGATGACAATAACATGCATCTCGGTCACGGGTTTTTGCCGATAAGACATAGAAGCGTCTAGACGAACCGGCCTCCCGAACATAGACATAATTTTTTTGTCTTCTCCAGTGCATCGTCGTCACCGTATGATCAATCGTTGCAATTATACACGTCATCATCAGGATCCATTTCCAGTGTGTCGGGCATTCAATTTATATTTTTGGTCGTTTCATTTTTTTTTTTTTTTTTAATATTATATTTGCGGTTTAATCATCATCGCTTGAGTCGCGGAATCCAAACCATCGTCAACATTTGAAGTTTTTTTTCTTCATGGTTATATTCGTGTTCAAAAGTGAGTGACGGCACTACACGGTAACGCGATATCATTAAAAAAGTGATACGCGATATATTTCATCATTAATTTTTTAGTATTATTTATATTTTTATTATTATATTATTATATGTATGACTGAGTTGGCTTTTGAGTTTTGGTCACATATTATATTAATTTTTTTTTTTTTTTTATTTATTAAAACTTACAATGTGTCAACATATTACACGTTATAACAAGGTATTATTTATATAATAATGATACGGTTAAAAGAAAATAACACATATATTGAAATTAGAATTATATACTAGGTGGGCGCCTACACTCCGATATTAATTACATTTTAATAAATAGATATACGAATGTATTTTTTTTAATATGTTTTTAAATCGTTATTCGTATATATTTTCAGAGATTTTTAAAATATTAAATTTCCGAGTCCTTGTGTTATCGGGTAAAACATGTATTCAATAGTCGACGTATTGTCGTCAAGTTTAATTTCTTTTTTACCTAAATGTACACTTCTGTTTTTTTTTTATTTTAGGTCTATACATCTATTGTCTATGTCATAAGATTTAATTCAGTCGTATATTCTTAAAGCTTCGTTTTTGTTGTTTAATGAATCTTGATTATTTTTCACAAGTTCTATAGATGGAAATTGAAACGTTGATTTTTTTTATCTTGTTCAGTGGTTCTATAATCGGGCTAGAGTTTCCGAAACTGTTGCAGGTGGTATGTTGGAGACAAATATGTGAGGCGCGATCTGAATATTTCCTATCAGCGGTGTCTGAATGTCACCTAGTAATAAATACTACCTATATAAATAAATTTTTAAAACGGGAAACAAGAATACATACCTACCATGAAATATTTTAAAATGTTTGAAAAGGTTGGTCTTGTAACTGAATACAATGGAACACTAAAAAGATGGGTACGCACACCCGCATGATTTTTTTCATGCCTAACCAAGTTATGTTTCACCACGAATTCCGAATTACATTTTATTTTACATAAAATATTATACAAATATTTAAATAGTTGTTTTTATTTTACATAAATTATTATACAAATATTAAAATAGTTGGGGTTTTACTACTTTACGTAATGGTGTGGGGTATTCGGTGGTAAATTGAAGAAATCTGGTCAATCCTTTCCATCAAATAACTGTAGACTTTGAACAGTGGACCGTGGACCATCAACATTGTCCGACTGAAAAAATAAATAAAATATATAAACACAAATTTTTTTTTTTTAATGTTAAATATTAAATTATAAAAATTACTTCATTTATATCAGATGTATGGCCATCTTGCTCCATGTTTACAAAACTCGATGATGATATTCTCAATGGGTAGGTCTGCGCGGGCTGCATATTCTTACTACGTCTTGGCACTAAATACATTGTTGATAAGACTGAATCATAGTCACCAGTTTCCGATAATGGCTGCATATCAGAAAATAGACGATCGTATTTGTCGGCTACTTTCCGTTGGTCGTTTGGTGATATGATTGGTGGCGATAGCGGCGGCAATGGTGAAATGGTTGCTGCTTGCTGGTTTGATGAATAACTGAAAATAAAAATACAATAAACATTTATACGTCATGTAGAATAATTTAAAGGTTTAATTATTTGTGCTTGTGATTGATCAATAGAATAATTTAGACACACGATTGAATGGTATTTGACGGCTGTGGTATGACATCAATGATTAACTAAAAAATAATAATAATAATAATTAAAATTAAATAAACATTTTTACAAGTGATATAAATAAAAAATATTTTTACCTCTGGTGAGTGTTCCCCGTTCCACCGTTGTGTCCATTGTTTGGCTAATTGTGTGACTACATACCTACATTTTGAACTGGCTGATTAAGTTTACGTCTTCTTTAGAAGTAGATTCAATAATTTGTTCGTCACGTAAATTTTTGATAAAATATAATCGCCAATAATCTCAAACTGATTTAAAACTAATGATCGTATGATGATTGAATTTCGTACAGCTGTTTCGTGAATTGGCCATTCTAGATATTGAAGCTGCATCAAATCCGAGCGATTTAATAGAACCCTACACCCATCCTGTGTTTTTGACTTAATGACAAACGTATTTTGACCTTGATATATCATAATCGATAATTTATAAATACTAGTCTCGATAAATGAGGTTATTTTAAATTTTTGAGGTTGGTCCAATATGAAGGAAAAAATATTTCCCATTAACGCGAATACACGTCATAAAAAATTCTGGTATAGTATTTACATACCACGAAGGTGTGATTAATGATTAATTGCACCATTGTGTTAAATTAATTTCTAGGATTAAGTCCTATATTCAAAAACTTACGACCGGCAAAGTTTAAGGTGTACTTGGATGAATTGATCAGTTTAACAGGCGATGTAGGTGGAATAAATGTAAAGTTATTTTCCTTGTAAATTGTAGCCATTCTTTCAATCGACCCAGCTATCGTTGTAAAAAAAAATAACTTACACGAAGTTTAAAAATTAAACACAGAGTGAAAAGTGTGCAAAAAATGATAACATTTTATTTGATGACCGATAAAAACATTTTTGATAACTGATAATGTTGCTCACGTATGTGATATGCATATTGTCTTATGCGGGCGCGCAAAAAAATATATCTCGGTTACGTAGCGGATTGGGCAGCGGTAGGCGTGGTGGCAGAATGAGCACCCGACGAAATCGGGATGCACAAGACTGCATAGGGATGAACCAGTAGGATGAGTGGCTGGAGCTATCTTTTTCATTCTACTCTTGTTAGTTGTTATAGGATCAAGACAATTTACAATAAGTAGAGTTTTAATAAAAAATACAAAGTTAATATTGAAATGATTTAGACTTATTTTTAAAAATTTTGCTAGGGATTGAACTAAACAAATTATTTATAAAATTTATTGTTATATTTTTTTTTTCAAATTGGTAGTTTTAAAAGCCTTAAAAAAATGCTTTAACATTAAAAAAATGCATTAAAAAACTTTAAAAATGTGTTTATATTACACATTATTATAAAAAATCTGATAAAAAATATTTAAATACAATACAACCTTAATTAATTTTAACTCTCAATTATCTATTAAAATGTCTAAGCCACCGGCATACAACTTGTATGTATGTATTTTGTGTCTACACGTGTCAACAATAATTTCGTAATTTCGTAACTTAATTATGAAAATAAAAATACCTAAATATTTATTATTATTATTATTTAGGTATTTTTATTTTTTTAGAATGAATGTTGAAAAATGTTGAAAAAATGACTTAAAAAACTTGAAAATGCACTAAAATTGTCAAAAAATGGTCTAAAAAATGTAATAAAATCTTAAAAATGCTAAATAAAAGTTAAATTTTTTAATTCCTTGATGTATGAAATGAAATTTTTGCTTGGAAACCAATGTTTTCGGACAATCAGAAAAAAATGCAATTTGCATTCAAATCCGTTCCCTAGTTATTAGCTATTACTTATATGTATATTATTGAATATTTAAAAATATTTTAAATTAAATTGAAATGTGTATGCGCTCGTAGACACCGCCCGCACATTTAACATCTAGGTATGGCGCGATAAATGATAATAGACAACAAGCGTCATAAAATCGCGATAAAACTATATGATATTGGATTTAAAATCTATAACTATAACTCAAAATTTGTGAAACAAAACCAATAGAGACACGTCTTATTCTCTCGAAAGAGGTCTCAGAGTAACGCCGCACTTGAAGCACGGTCGTACGACCATGTCGAATATGTACCCGGAACCGTTGTGACGGATCGGCGCGAAACACCAAACCAAAAACCACGTCCTGCACGTCCGGTACAACGGGATGAGTCGCACCACTGGCCGGCAGAGCGATTCCGCGATCAACACTGCCGTGAACGTCATCCAGTACGTGAACTTCTCGTTCCGGGCCTGATCGGCGGTGGACACGCGGTCGTACTTCCGCCACACCAGCGACGAGGAGACGGTCAGCGATAGGGTGGTCAACGCCGGGTAGACGAGCCCGATGATGTTGCTCGTCACTTTCGCGTTGGCCCCGTACACGAGCAGCACCGAGTTGACCAGGAGGATGCACATCAGCACCTTGAACCTGGACCAACCGGTCAGCGCCTCGGCCTTCCCGAACGCCGCGTCCCATGGTTTCGATCTGTCGTATAACGCGTCGTTGATGGCGTCCATGACGGTTTCCATCTTTATGGTCTTGGCCATTTCATACTGTTTTTTCTGCATGTTTGGGTCGCAGGATATTACAGGAAGGACCGTTGTTAAATAACAGTATTATTATTTTGTAGCTATCGGACCGGCGTTTGTCACAATATGTTTGTTTGGCTACGCTTGACGATCACCATTACCCCGAGGTTTGCCACAGAAACGGCAAAACAATATTATTATCGTTTGGCCAGATACGAAAACCAGTCGACGTGATATTAATATATTGTATAGGTACCTACGCGCCGTCGTTGCTCGCGAAATCTCCACCATCGATTGCCTTTCGATATTACCTACGCAATAAAATGCTTAAGATCGACGATAATCATTCCGTTTTGCTGCTACACACAATGTAAAACTGTGATCCGATAACCGATGTCATCGAATTTGGATCCACGTCGAAATACATAGTTGAGATTTTTTTAAATAAATCAGCCTCGAAGACTTTTTTTCTCGACAGTCATGATTTAACAGTGCCGTCTTAAGCGTTTGGAACTATTATTGTAGGTATTGGTATTTAAACGTTTTTCTTAGAATCCAAGATTTTTTATATAAAACTTTCTAGTAGGCACTAAATATATTAAATAGATGGCATCATATCGTTATGCTCGACACTAGTTATTAAAATATTTATTTTTCTCGTCTAATATAAAATATTGCATAATAACCACTTGCTAAATTTATTATCAATAAAAAAATATGCTGTCCAAGTCAATAATGTAAAATGATCAAATTTCTTCATACTATTAACCATCAATTCTTACAGTAGTAGTAAATATTATGAGAAGCTTGGAAAAATAATTACATAATAGTAGCAATTTGAATTATTTTGTACTTGAAAATGACAGTATGAATACCGTGTAAAAGTATTTTAGAGACAAATATTTTGGTAAATTCTAATCATTTTTTTTTTAAGGTAGTTTTGCAACACAGCGTTTAGATAGTTTATAATACTAATTTACTACTTATTTAATATTTTATCATTCAATATATTTATAAAGGACACACATTGAGACTGCAACATAGGTAAAGAGGAATCACAAATATACGAATTAATATCGAAAAGTTTTCCACATATTTTAGCATACAGCATAAACAAAAAAACATGGTTAGTAGTAATTACAATGATAGAATGACCATGATCAAAACATATTTATCATTTGAAAATAAAACTGATTTGTTAGTCAAAAAAAAAAAGTGGAAAATTGAAATACAAGAAAAGTTCAAGAAAAGATTTAAAATAGTCAATATAGATGTATTGAAAAATTAAAAGTTTATAACTACAGTCAATGGTCTAAATAGATATTTATAATTTTTGGAGATAGAAGAAATAAATGCAACGTATAATAGGACATATGGAGTTAATATTAACAATTAAACTATAAATTACAAATAGCAAGTAAATACCTTTAAGTAATCAGACTACATTCAGGTCTCTCTAAATTTTAATTTATGATATTTCAATATTTTCACACTATAAACAATACTATGTATACTATCTGTGTACATAAAAATATTTTTCAACTGTATCTAATGTACTAGTGTATTAATTGATATATTTATCTAATATTCGCATAGATAATTTAATAACATACAATGTAAAGAATACATTTAAAAATTTTATGCAACTAATAAGTATTTAAATTATTTTTTAGTTGATTAGGTTTGTTTTTGTTCAACGATCATTTTGCTTTGCCTTGTGCAGCAACAGCTTCAATTGCCTTTTTCACAGTCTCTTCGTCACCCAAAAACTTCATTGAAACCACGGGCTTAAAATTTTCATCTAATTCATATTCAAATGGTATACCAGTAGGTAAATTAAGAGACATGATTTGGTCTTCTGTTAAATCTGAAAAACACAGATAATGTAAACAAACAAACCTATTTTTTAAATTATTATTTAGACAACGTATTTAATAATAAAAAAAAAATTGTCTAAATCAATGTACCTTCTCAATAAAATTTCTCGAAATTATAACTAATACTCAAAAATGAATACTGATTGTACACAATTAAAAACTTACTGTCTAAATGTTTGACAATTCCTCTAAGACTGTTTCCGTGAGCAGCTATCAATATTTGTTTTCCTTCTTTTAATTGAGGAATAATTACATCATTCCAGTAAGGCAATGTCCTCTGAATTGTCAATTTCAATGATTCAAACATAGGAAACTCCTCCTTTGAAGGTTCATCTTTGTAGCGTGGGTCATTTACGATTTGATCATAGTAAGCATGGTCTGTATCCATGGCTGGTGGAGGAGTGTCAAAACTACGTCTCCATATTTGAACCTGAAAACATAATATTAAACAATAAACATTAATGCCAGAATTAAATATGAAAATTAAATTTATAAATTTGATGTTAAAATAACGAACAATTTAAATAAGTGTAATTATTACCTGTTCTTCACCATATTTGGCTGCAGTCTCAGATTTATTCAATCCAGTAAGGCCACCATAATGTCTTTCATTCAAACGCCAAGTTTTAGATATCGGAATGTCTTCTTGTCCAAGTTCTTTTAATATTGCACCCAGAGTGTTTTGTGCTCTCTTCAATACGGACGTGTGGGCTATGTCAAATTTGTAATTGCCTTGTTTCAATGCTTTACCAGCACTTGTTGCTTCTTCTTCACCTACTCAACAAAAAATAATGGTATAAGCCCTTATTGAATTGAAATTAATAGAGTATCATCATCAAATTGACATATAACTCAAAATAAACTTCAGGTACACTAATAAAAAACCTGATTCCAAAACATTTGAAGAACTAATTCTTTTAATAAAAAAAAATACGTAATAAATGCACTGTAGTCAGTAAATATAATACAAATATGTACCCCTTCCCATATAAATAGTAGTAATTTTATTTTAATTAAATTAAATCCAAGCAAGGGTATACCCTAGGGGATTTCTAGGTCTAGACCCCACCATTGATTAACTGAATGCTTAAAGTGCAAACCACAGAAATATAGTTTAATTGATATTTTATATCGTAAATGTATAATGTATATTATAATAAAATATCGAACAGAATGTGCCAAATGGCAGTACGTCTTCTGGTCACCGTTACAATATGCAATGCTTATCGGTAGCCCATGTTCAGTTGGCAAAACGTACCAAATTATAAGTAATTTTAATTAATCACATAAAAATGTGGACCTCCCTTTGAAAAATTTCTGGATACACCCATGAATCCAAGTGCCATAATTTGATGGTTTCTTTACCTATATTTAAATCATACTTCAAAACTACCCTTAAACTTATTGTAATACATATAGTATACAGATTGTATTATTTTCTTTAAAATAACAAACAAAACATTCATATATTATAATTATTAATCAGTAATTTATGAATATAAATTTTAACATAAAAAAAGATTCTAAACCTTGATAGACTTTTTTTGCTTTTGAATTTGCAAAATTTTTAATAATTTCTGAGAAATGTATTTTTTGGGCTATTTTTTTCAGTAGAAAGAATTGCTAGAGATGTTAGTTTTCCGTCCATCAATGTTGAACGCAGATACGTTTTTAATTGTTTTAATTTCGAAAAACTTCTTTCGCTACTGGTTACAGTAACATGTATTGTTAATAAAATTCTTAGATATTCAGATGTTTGGGAATATTAGAATTATATTCCTATAATCTTTTCAGATCTAACATAATATTATTGAGGCATCCCCCTATTAACAAACACCCACCCTTAACTATAGTATATGAAAGTAACAAACCTTTAGGGCTCAACGAAGCATCATACCATCCGCAGAACAAGTTTTTTTGGTTCCATTCACTTTCGCCATGTCTAACCATCACTACCTTGTATTTAGCCATTGTATTTCGTATGAAAATCGGAAATTTGGAAATATTGAAGTCTTCTAACGAACTATTGAAGGTGAATTGAATTGAAACTTTTTATAACCTTGTCATTCCCTAAAAGTCAAATTTCAATAAACAAGAAATACTACGTGACGTCACTACTGATAAGCATAAGACCAAGTGTTACCAAACTTCAAAATGTCAATGACTTTTAAGAGCTCCACTGAAACAATTCGACAAAACCTACTTAGGAGTTTGAACTAATTAAAATGTTAAGAAGACCATAGATTTATACCACTAAAACATTATATTACTCAAAAAAAACCCTAGCTTTTTATGAAAAATCAAATACGTTACCAATGAACTATAATACATTTTCGAGTTCTAGCCTTTACAATTCCGTTTATTTGAAGGGGAAATAATAATATGTGCCATGTGGGTATAAAATATCATGGTGAAAAAAATTAATTTTGAACTTCATCCATGAAAATGTATATATTTTAATCACTAAAAAAAAGATATACAATATATACCTTAATTTGTGATAATATTATTAATAGCTTATCAGAACCAAAAAGTACGAACACCGGAAAATTACGACCAGTACGAACTTCATACTTAAATATTAATAATTATATTAAATTATATAATATATGATCAACTAATAACACTATTAACAAATAATTTATTATTTATCTTTAATATTTAGTGATGACCAATGAATTTATTTTAAATTATAAATAAACAGACAGTGCTAAAGTTGAACAATTCATAGTATTAGATGTTTAATTTTAAGCATTTGTAAACTTAAAAGTCTAAACGACATTTTTTACTTGAGAATTAAAATGACAAACGATCCTGCGGATTTCACTATGTTTCATACTAACGCTATAAAAGTCAAGTGTGACTGGCCATCAAACGTTGATGGAATGGACATCGAAGACTGTGTTGTGGCTCGTCCAAAGCAATCAGACATTGATCCCGAAAAACTGTATTACAATTTTTTTTAAAGTATAATTAATAATTATTATTTATTATTGTAATTATTATTGCAGCGATATATTACAATTAATAATGGAATTAGATTGCAAGAGTGTGAATTTTGAGAAACCTGAACATTTAAGTGATTTATTCATTAATATCAATTGTGATCCGATGCATGTAATTGATACAATAGCTGTGTGTTCTGAGGTACAATAATGTTATTTTGTAGTATGAATATTTTAATGAGAGCAATGTTTTTTGTTTTTCAGGCCAGAATCATAGAACTTTTCGGGAAGACTGGAGAATATATTTCTATACATCAGTCTATTTGTCACAGTAATATTGATGGATTTCAAATGTACTCTCATGTGATACCAATTGACAGTACAAAATGTACTTTAAAATTAAAACAATATAATAATTTTGATTTCATTTGGATTTTTGGCATAGTTATTTATTTAACTGAAATGAAAAAGCATTCTAACAAATTCTTGGGCCCAATAAATATGCAGAATGTTCAAAATATGTTGGAGTCAAAACCATTAGACTTAAATGCTTTAAAATTGTTTTCCACGTTAAGTCTTAAACAATCAAAATCAATTGATAATGATATTTTGATGTCGATTTTTAATAATAAGGAAAGTCGTGAATTTCCAAATAATGATCCGAAGGGTGATCAATTCATATCGATTAATTTTAAACAATTTGAAAAAAAAGTAGAGGACAAACTTCAGAGTATGGCTGTTCAAATGAATACAATTGAAAATAAAATTGAAACATTAAATAAAAAGTTTGATTTGTTGTTAAACGCATTACATGATAAGAATGTTTTATAATATTATATTTTGTTTAAATGTTAATATGTTACTGTAATCTACAAACTGTGACAAGATTGGTAATGGAATGCTATTTGTATTTTGTCGTTGTACTGGTTATAATTTGTTTTTAATGTATATTTTATTTCTCATGAATACCCAGACTGAAATATTTAATATAGTTATAAATTTATCTGATATAATTTGTTATACTATTAATTTTAATATAATGAGGAATTAATTCCATGTACTGTTTAAAATATAATATTATACTCTAATTTATTGGGTATAGAAGGTACCTCTGTGTCAACTATTTGTATACTCGCCTTATAGTGAAGTAATACTCTTGTTATAGCTAAATTTTTTCTTAATGTGTACTGGTTTTCAAAAATCCTTTAAGAAACTATCTGAAATATTTTAAGTTCTTTATTAACTGATACTGTTTATAAGTTTGGCAATATTTATAATATATCCCTTTTAAGACCTGTTGCATACCATAAACTACACTCATAACCAAGGCTCATAAGGTGTAGCAATAAAAATGTTACTTTTTAGCTCTTGAATATGCACTTAAAGATTCCAATATATGCGCTATAATAGCTCGAAAAATCAAAAAAATTAAAAGTTATTTTACAATTTACAGTTGAAAAGTAAAAAATGTTTCTAAGAATTTAAATATTTTTAAAAATATAATCAAATTAATCATTATTTTCAACAAAATGCGAGTATTTCATATATTATGTAAAAATATACCCAACAGTAGTACTAAAAACACTAAATTAGCAAAATAGCAATAAAAATGTAAATATGCAAAAAAAATAGCAAAATAAATTATTGTATATAAAATAAGATAAATGTGAAACATATTTATATCCTATTTTAGATGTTCTAAGATGAACCAAGAAAAAAAATGCATTTGCTACAACTTTTGGATCTTGCTCATAACAATCTAATTCGCACAATGTTATGTCTTGCAATACCTTTTTGATAATGTTTTAAAATCAATAAATTATTTTTAACTTGGAGCTAAGACCTGATTTGTAATAATAAAATAACAGTTTGCAGTACTTATTTCTTAATAATATAATTAATTAAATTTCACTTCATTTGACATCAGAGGAATAACGTAGTGTGGTCAAATGCACTGAAATCATACAAAATGATAGAAATATACATGAGAAAGGCCACTAAAGACTAAGATTTTGTAAGTATTGAATAATTTCCACTATATATGTACATAAAAAAATTAAATGTATAGTAATGGTTAAATAATTAGAATTTTATATACTGTTCATGACATAATATGTCTATTTAAATATCAAATATACAAAGTGGATGTATTACAAATATATATATATTCAATATTTAATTCTTAATATATTTCATAGTAATAAAATAAAAGTAATAAATAGACATAAATTAAAAATTGTTATAAATTAGTACAAAATAAAACTATGAAAGATTTTATTGTTCGAACAAGATTCCAATCAATAAAAATGGAACACAGTACAAAATATGTAAAACTAAATCAATATGAAGATTGTTACAAAAATAAAAATAAAAATAATTTATACATACCTAGATAGTTATATATATCCATTCAAATTAAGTAACTAATATTTTTAATCAAATAGAGTTATTAGAATAAAATAAAAATTGGTATCCATTAATTTTAACATTTAACGCATGTTTAGTTTTTACTATATAGAAAAAAAAATAAACATTTTATAACTAAATATAATATACATAATATATAACCTACAGATATTCAAAAATATTTTAATGAATGGTCAATAAATTTATAGGTGTAAAATGTATAAATAAATAGGTATCTAATTATTATAAGTTTTAGATTTCTTAAACTTCAATTGATTTGGAGTAAGACCATCTTCTTGGTTTTCCCTTTTTTGTTGTGATGAATCTTCAGAACTTGGTGGTGGTGTTGATGGCCTTGAATCTGAGGCCTGAGAACTTGAGTCCAAACTAGTCATTGATCCTAGTCTATAAATTAAATACAATATTATCTACATGTTGATATATTTTCATGATATATTGTGTATCAAGCATGACAATATTGTAAATTACATTCTATTCTTGCAAGATTATATTATTTATTCAACCATAATTTTACAGTAAAATTAATTAAATGAAACATGAACATTTTTAAATTTCATTAGTTTACTTATGTTTATTTTGAAGGAGCTAAAGAAGTTTATGTTAAAGTTCATGTTTGCATCATCAATATTGACATTTTACTAAAGATTTTAATTCAAATTATAATTTTATAAGTTTTGTGTATTAATAAATAATACTTTATTTATTCTGGTTCTAGATTCATTAGTTTATTGAAGCTGTACAGTGTACATACTACTTAAAAAAATACATTAGTCCGAGACATTTTAAAATGTTTTATGTTGATGATTGATGAGAAGGATTTATTAAATAAAATTAATTCAAATTATCTTATTAAGAAATTAGCTGCTAGAAGCAGTATATAAAGTAAATAATTTTTTCTTTTAATATTTGATTATATAATTTATATTAAAATTACACAATTTGAATATTGTTTAATGAGTATACAATAAACAGAACCTATTATAGTTACATGTGGCCCTAATATATCCTGATAAAAAAACTACATATCTCAGTTAATCTGATAAAATTGAAAAAACATACTAATATCTTAATTATAAAATATCAATTCACAAAAAAAAAAAATGTAGTTATAAAATATCAATTAAGCCATTAACACTAATACATTGGAAAAGTATTCAAATTCTTGATTTTAAACTCAAATCCAGATTGATTAAATGATAATACTCATTACACAATGTACACAAATAATTTAGATGATTTAAATCATTATCAGACCAACTATCAATCCTAAATATTATATAAATAAAACTGGCAATCTTTACTTTCAATTATTTCAATATATATAAAGCACAAATTTTTTATATTCATTTACTTACGAACACAAATTTGAACTTGAACCCGTGGTCAGTGCATCATCATCATCATGTTTTCTATCAGGGTCCCATAAATGTAATTTAACTCTCCAGTTTTTAATTAAACCATCCCAAGCTCGTCTAGTATATTTTAAATTTTTTGGTGGAGTTTTAGGATGTCTTTTAGAACGTTCATGTCTAAAAAATAATACCAACAATAATTTATTTAGTTAATTTATAAAAATATAAAAATCCATACTTAGGAACCTGTTCTAGATATTTGACATATCCAATAGTATTTTTACCAAAATCTATTTGTTTTTGTCTTCTTGCTAAAATATTAGGGTCTGTTTCGCGTTCCAATTTTACTCTTCAAAAAAAAAATAAAACATAAAATGTCAATCATTAAAATATGCATAATTTGAAATGTACTTTTTCTATGTGATATAACCCAGTACTTTTTAATGATCCCTAGACACTTATAATATTGAATAGTGGTTAAAAGATTAAAAACATTTTAATAAGCAATAAGCTTATTTATTTTATTAAATTATTTAATAAAAATACATGCTTACTTGGGACTTGATTCAGAGTCATGTATATTTTTATGCTCTGTGGATTTTTTATTAACTTTGTTGACCCGCTCAGGTGACACGGAATCAGTAACAACAGATTCACTCTCAGAAGTTAATCTTCTCTTAGCATGCTGTAAATCTTTTTTCGGGTTTTGTTCTTTACACACCGACTCTTTAGGATTATTACCAGATGTTGTCTTTGATTCTTTTTTTACAAATGGACTACAAATGGTATCTTCATCAAACGTAAGTGTTTTTTCATCATTTTCCTGTTTGATCGGCGTTACCATATGTACATTATTCATAAAGGAAGTCAAACTAAGATCATCCTGGGTTGGGGCTTTGACAAACTCCTTTTTGACTGGCTTGAAAACCATGTCATACAGATCGTCATCATCATCGCCATTCTTTTTGCTTGGCTCGTCGACAAGTTTCAGTGGTGAATCGGTGTCCGTCTGCGACTGTGATGATTGAGAACTGTCACAAAGTTCGGCCCAACTTTTGCCGGATAGATCAATGACAGTAGATTTAAGTTTTCGTTCTACGTCGGCCATCGCGATATCGTAACGAAACAAGTCGCGCGGCGAGATGACGTACAAACGAAGAGAGTAATTTGACTAATTTAAGCGTGCGAATGATATAAATAATAACTAAGGGTCAGCTGTAGCCTGTAACGTATCGCGTGATAACCAATTGTATGCTATGACAATGAAAAGTAATGTTAGTATAGTAGAACACTAGAACGTTTGACGATAAAAATTGCGTTTTATCGGCTAACACTAATAGATAAATTCAGTTTCTTAGAAAACTACGAAGTGACGACTTACGAACACTGAACATAAATCAAAATATTCAAAATCGGACTCTGAGTCTCTGACTACCTGACGCCTACCTTACAGCAATCGTGACAAACTACAGTCGAACCCTTTGTGCCTTTGACGAAATATGATTGTACAATATTTTTCGTTTTTCCATAAAACTGTTGGAAAAAATATTCCAAAATTGAAACGCAGCAACGCTCTGAAATGGCGTAGTAACTTAACAATGAAAATATATAATCAAAAATTAATAACATTAACATAAATAATATTAAACATATCATCAAATAATTTGGCTATTACTTATTATTTAATATTTATTGTTAAAATTAAATATACTAAGCAGTATGCACTAGATACCGATGTAAACAAAATTCGCGGGAAATCGGTATTTTTACCAGTACAGTCGTACCAAGACACATAAATTCTCATTTCTTATATGACATAAATTTAAATGCAATTGAAAACACTGAAAGTTATCATTCTACAAATTAAATATGACTATTTTTTTTTTGTAATAATTAATAACTAAAAATTATTTTTTAGTATACCAACAGAATTTTGTGCCGGCGTTTTTCAATACAATTGTTAAACTGACAGTATCTATACAATAACAACTACGATTAGTCTAAGAATAAAAATATAATTTTGAATTCGGAAGATTGCATCTGGTAATTTTGGGTTGGCGTGCCGTCAGCCCTGTGCTCAAAATCCAAACAATTCGGCCATATTTATTATCGACGTTTTTTGTTATTGTTTCTGGCTTGTGTTCACCGGGTCTCGCGGGATTAGATATAAACGTCTAAAGTTTTGCCGAAAGCTCGTTTTTGGGTTTTACGACAAACCGGCCCTGTTTCGTCGTCCGATCGTCCCACACTCGACGCTACGATGTTGGCCTTGGGTCCAAAAAAGGACGGTAGTCCGAACGTTAAATTTTTTGAATCTCCTGAAACGCTAAACATGTTGGAGGGCGTTAGGACGTGGCTAATGAAAAATCACAAAAAGGTACGTATATTTTTATTTGACGACATCTAGCCGTTTATGATTTGATATGTCCACGATCCTGCCATTTGGTGTCAGATATTGAACGTGTATGTTGTGACGTGTTTGATCTGTTTCTTGCTTAGTACCTGCAAACGGATCCACCGACCAACAAAACCCTTGCAGCTTTGGTGTTGCAACTCATTCAATTTCAAGAAGACAATCTCGGTAAAAATGTCAGCAAACCACCACTCACTCGCTTGCCTGTAAGTTGGTTTGGCTAATAAATGACATTAACAGATTCACTCATCTGTGATTTTATAACCAACCGATTATTATTGTCATTCTAATGTAGATGCGCTGTTTTATGGACTTCAAACCTGGAGGTGCTTTGTGCCATTTGCTAGCTACTGTATACAAGTTTAAGGTGGAACAGGGGTGGCGAAGATTCGATTTCCAGGTCAGTAAGGTATGATTTGGCGAGACGAGCCTTCATTTCACCTCACCACTAACCACTAATCGGACGTGCACGCCTGACCTGTTGTTATAATCCCACGCTGTCAATTTGTATTGCTATAGCTCGTCTCCAATTTATTATTATTGGTATTATAATATGTGTACAAAATTTGTTCATGTTGCCCGTGTTGTGTGCTTTTTCTGTGGTGACCACAAAATTAATTACATGCCGAGCACGTACTTTCTGCACCTATCTCTCCTTATTCCTATAGGATGATGTCCTAATCCTTTACAATATGTACATCAATGGATTATACAAGTAACACAAACTACTCAAGTACTTTTTTTTGTATATGTAGATTAACAATGTAGCAGTTTATCAATAATTATGTACAGTTTATCTACCTAAGATTTATATATTTTATCAAATACATATTTATACTTAGAGTAGGTAATATGTAATTTTATACATTAAGTTAATTTTTATTTTGCATACTAAATTTACTTTTTAAAATTAAATAATATTTATTAGGTACAACTAAAACTATAATTATGAATACAGTATTTTTTATTTTTATTAATATTCATAAACCAACTTAGGACTATAGAATCATCTTGTGTTATTGATCAGGTATTGAAAGTCAAGTAATGTTACTCATTTTTCACTATTTTTGAAAATTAAATAATCTTGCATAAAATTGGCCTTAACATTACAATTGCCCCTTTCATGTTAAGCTATATTAAAAGTCTTAGATATTAGCAAATTTTATTATTAACTTGCCATTATCTCAAGTGTTAACTCTCTCATACTAACATAGAACAGTACATTTTTACTTTAAAATAGTCAGAAAATCCATTTTACTCAATTAGAACTAATTGACCTTATATTATTCAAGGTTTCATGTTATTTAAATTTATAATTTAACATTAAAGCATTTTTTTTTTTTTTAATGTGTTAAAATAAATTTTAAAATTTTTATAATTTGCTTCAAATTAGAAATCCTAGGTAATGTTCTTATTTTTAAATTTGATAACAGATCGATTTCATTTATAATTTTAATAAATTATATTCTTTTGAGTGTAAAATTTACTATGTTATATGTTACTTAGATGGAAACAAGTCTGACAACTTATATTAAAAATGATTTCCTCTTTAAGTTTCAAATAATTCTAGTTTTTAAATTTTACTTATATTTAGTTAAAAATTAATATTTTTATTATTTCAAGTCATATAGATGGTACAGGTTGTTTAATTGTTTGTATAATATAAGAAATATAATACAAATATTATTTTACACTTAAAATTATCAACAAAAATTTATTTTATGTAAATATTTTAAGCTATACGCCTGGAAAAACGCCTTTTACGCATGATTCAGTTATAAGGCATGTAAGTGATCAGTAACACTTGCTATTAAAAGTCTATTTTTTTTTTTTTACATTTGGGCCATTGAAAGAAAATAAATTTATATTCTATCTATATGATCAAAACTATCAAATAATTTTTAGTCTTATGGTATTTACATAATTACAATTATAATTAATTGTAGTTATGTTATGATGATAAATTCTACACAACACATACATACAGTTATTTTCTATTCATATATATTTGTATGGTTACTAAATGTTAATATTTTATTAATGGTTATTTATCAAAATAATATAGGAGGTATATTATCCAAATACAATGGTTGTACTAAAAAAAAATATTGTTATCAATTACGAACAAAATCTAAAATGAGTTTAAAATGATAGTTATATCAATAATTAATAATAATAAAATTGTTCACAATACACTACTTGCAAATAAATTTAATGGGAATTTATAAGTGTATATAAGTATAATTGGGAAAAGAACTGCTTTATATGTTTAAAATTATAAATATTTTGGTGTGTATAGAAATAGTTCTAACATTTGTGTGCTTGTCCACGTGAACTAATATTTTTCTTCAACGTTCTTGTACTAATTCAGTTATTAAACAACATGTTAGGGAAACACTTGTCAATATTTAATATTATGAATAATAATGTACAGAACTTAAAAATCATTATATCTACAACGTAATCAAAATTTTAAAATGTATTTTACTTACGATCAATATTATTTTATTACTATTTTTTGTTCTTAAACACTGCTATTATTTCATAATATTTTAAAGTACTGTACATATTTATTACTTTGTTTTAACTATATACTAAAATTAAATAAATATAATTTTTTAAATTATGGATAACTTGTATGAAGTATACTAAATTAAAATTCACATTCATACAAACTTTGATTTGTAAATTTGTGATGTTGGTATATTATTTTCTATGTAAAAAATGCTACTTATATATATATACTATTCTCATTACTTTTTAAATTTATTTAGTAGCATTTTTACTTAAATTGTGTATATGTGTGTTATTATTATTTTAGTATACTTCAAAAAAGTTGTTATGTATATTAATGTGTTTATTTTTAAATTTATTTAAGTAAATTTATTTTTACTTGATCATAAAAGTGGTTCTGGTTTATTCACAGAGTCCTTCTAGAATGGACAGAAGTATTGAAATGTTTATGAATGTTGAGAAGGCTTTAATTCATGCTAAATGTTTATCTATGCCTGTTATACTTATTCATCCAGACGTTGATAAAATAGTTCAAAACCGTATAAAAGATATTATAAAAAGGCATCAAGGAACACTTACTGGTATATTTACTAAGTTTATTTATCATCTCACATTTAATTAAATTATTATTTTAAAAAAAAACTTTAGAAAACGAACAAGAAGCTACTCATGTCTTGTATCCGGTTGTGGATCCATTGGATGAAGAATATGCTCGTCCTGTATACAGAAATAAAGAACGTTGGATACAAATGCACTGGTATTATTTTCCTGATTCTCATGATTCGTGGGTGACTACTGAATTGCCAGTTGAACCTCCTGAAGTATTATATGGCAATCAACATCCTACTCCATGGAGGGTAATTTAATTTAAATATTATTTTATATTAATTTTTTAATGTTCTGCCACTGATATTATAATTTTTACTCTTTCTTCAACTTATAATTATAAAATACCTTAATGTATTATAAATGTGTTATCTAATATTATTATATTGTATAATTTTACTATTTAAATATAATTAAAAATAGTTTTAGAAATCAAATTCATTTTACCTAATATTTTCTAATAACAGTTAGATGATAAAACATTTTATGTTAGATAATTATTCTGTTTAAAAAGCATAAATAAATTTATTCAAAATTAATGAACAATTATTATATTTTAGGTCACGGCTTCTTGGGTCTTAGATTTAGATACTTATAATGAATGGATGAACGAAGAAGATTATGAAGTTGATGAAACTGGCAAAAAAAAAGTTCATAAAGTAAAATAATTAAACATAAACCATATTTTATTTATTATTTAATAATGTTTTATTTTAATTCTAGTTACGTCTCTCAGTTGAAGATTTCATGAGTAATGATCCTTCTGGAGGTAAAAAAAAACCTAAAAGAAAGCGAACACCATCTCCACCTTCAAAACCAAATAAACGTAAAAGGTAAGATTATTAATGTAAATAATTTTTAAGTAACTTAATTATATTTATTAATTGTATAGTGGACGTGGAGGTTCTGTGATGAGTGTAAAAAAAAATAAAGTTGATGATGATAGTGATGATCTAACTAGAGATCTTGAAGACCCGATTTCAGAACCCAATATTTCTGAAGTTAATTTAAATATTTCTCAAATAAAAACTGGTAATTTTTAATAATGTTTTATATTATGTAAAATACTTATTAAACTAAGTATATCTTGTAAAAAGGATCATCTTCATCAAAGAAGGACAGTGATTCTCAGCCAATTAGGA